TAGCGTAATGGGCAGAAGTGGTCTGGGTGCCTGGAGTGTCCCTTTGAGGTTACACCCTGCTCAAAAGATCACCTCTACAAGTTGTTTTTAAAGGGACAATCCAGGCACCCAGACCACTTCTGACCATTGGAGTGGTCTGGGTGCCAACTCCCACTACTCTTAACCCTGCAAGTGTAATTAATGCAGTTTTTTATAAACTGCAATAATTACCTTGCAGGGCCACTAGAGGGCACTTCCTGGTTTCTAGCACAGGAAACCTGTGCTAGAGCGTCGCTGGACGTCCTCACGCTATGTGAGGACCTCCAATGTTACTCATTTCCCCATAGGAAAGCATTTTCAATGCTTTCCTATGGGGAGCTCTAATGCGCATGCGTCTCGCCCACCGGCCGACGCAATCACAGGGAGGAGCGGTGCGGAGGAAGAAGCAGCGACGTGGGACATTGTCGCTGCCTCTGGTAAGTTACTGAAGGGGTTTTCACCCCTTCAGCAACCAGGGATTGGGGGGTGGGAGGGAGAGGGGACCTGCAGTGCCAGGAAAACTGATTGTTTTCCTGGCACTGGAGTTTCCCTTTAATTTGGAGATTTCCTGAGTTATTGACGCACTTAGTCCCTGCAGTGTGTTTAACCACATCGGTATGTATTTGCCGGTTTGAAATGTTGAGAGGGATTGTAAATGGACTTATTGTCCGGTTTCCTTGGAAATGACCTCAGAAGACGTCATGATGCCGGGCGCTTGGCGATGAAGTAATTAGGGTCAATTACCGACCCGTGTAAGCTCCGGTCCAGGCATACTCAGACGAAATCCCCGCATCAATGGGGTAAGTGTATAATGAGGTGGTAGGTATATAAGATTGTCTTTTAATACATTAGCTCATCCTGATGAAAGTTTGAATGACAAACTGAAACCTGGATCTTTTTTGTATCTGAGCAATAAAAGTTACGTTTTATTTTATCTATTGGAAGTCCCTGGAGTGCTATCTACACTATATTGTGAATCTATGAATGCTGACAAGCACCGGGCATGTAACACCAGTAAGTTGGAGTGCTAGACTATTTTTTCTAATTATCTATTTGTAAGCTACTGGCAACAGCTCTTGTTCTGTGCACCCAGGGCCGGCGCTACCTGTTAGGCGGACTAGGCAGCCACCTAGTGCGCCCCTCACCAGGAGCAATGGCCCCCCTCATGCTGCAGCTGCCCGAGCGCTCTGCAGAGAGCCTCAGGCGGCTGCAGCTTTGCACAGGCTGGTGCATCCATGAGGGCACACCGCCTGGGCGCACCCTGAGGAGAGGGGCTGACAGGAGGGAAGCGCTCAGCGCTCCCTCCTGTCACTCCCTCACTGTAGCGTGGCCGAGCTCTGTATGGTTCGCGGGTACAGGGAGCATCTGACTCCTGTACCCGGCCGGACTAACAGGAAGTACACACTGAGTGTGAACTTCCTGTTGTCCGGCATACAAACAAACTCCCTGCACCCACGGACCTACAGAGCTCGGCCAAATAGGTAGGAGGGAGAAAAGAAATTGGAGGGGAGAAACTGACAGGAGGGAAAAAGAAATGATGGGGGAAAGAAATTGGGGGAGAAATAAATTGACAGGGACGAGAGAAAGAAATTGACAAGGAGGGGGGAGAGAAAGAAATTGACAGGAGGGGAATTGACGGGGGAGAGAAAGAAATTGACAGTAGGGTGAGAGTGACAGGGGAGGGGAGGGGAGAAGAGAGTGACAATGGAGGGGGGAGAAGGGCGTGACATGGGAGGGGGGAAAAGAGAGGGACAAGTGGGGGAGAAGAGAGTGATAAGGGAGGGAGAGGAGGGAGAAGAGAGTGACAAGGGAGGGGGAGAGATTGACATCCATCACACACACACACAATCACATACACACAATGCACCCCTTACACACAAAGACAATGCACCCCTTGCACACAGAAAAACACACAATGCATTACACACACAATGCATTACACACACAGACATGCACACACACAAGCAATGCAACCCTTACACACAATGCATCCCTTACACACACAGAAGCACACAATACATTCCTTACACACACTCAATGCACCCTTTACACACACTCAATGCACCCCTTACAGACGCACACACTGCATCCCATACATACACAGAAACACACCTTGCAGCCCTTACACATACAAACACAGATTCACACAATGCATTCCTTACACACATATCAGGACATCCCCTATACACTCCACCCCCTGTAAACAAACTCATGAGTGGAACATGAAAGTGGACCCTGGGACCCAGACCTTGAGCTGTGTTAAGGGCCCCCAAAAAATGGAGCTGCTTCCCGTCCTCCCAGAACATTGATTTTTGTGACCACCATTACAAACAGCCTGCAGAGATCCTGTTCTACACCAGACCAGTGGAGCTAGACTGCAGCTAGAGCCCATCATCATCCTCATCTGGTTGTAAGTAGGCAATCTAGTATATTATTCGTGGCACTAATCTCTAATTTACCTCACATTAAAGAAACACTATAGTCCCCAGAACCACTGCAGCTTAATGTAGTGGTTCTGGTGTCTATAGCCTGTCCCTGCAGGTCTTTTAATGTAAACACGACGGCACTGCAGCACTGGCGTTAGTTAACATGGCAGATCATATGGGTGGGGCATTGTGATGTCACATGGGGGCGGGGGGCGGCAAACTTTACTTTTGCCTAGGGCGGCAAAAATCCTTGCACCGGCCCTGTGTGCACCCCTTAGTAGATCAAGCTTTTATCTTCTCTCTATTTTTGGTGTCAATTACCATTGCACTTTTGTGCTAATTAATTTAGTGGAACGTCTGTATATACCTACGTTTGTTATTGTTATTTCTTTTGGAAGTTTTTTGTATAAGTAGCTGGCGGCTGCATAAGCAACGGGTCCAGTTTAACCAAGGATTTTTTGTTGAAAAATCTGGGAGTGTTATCTATATCATTTTGTAGGGCGAAAAGTCCTGAGCTTATATCTTTGTTGACCTAACCTTAATCCAAGTCAGTGACATTAGTCCTGATATTATACACCCTTTTGGTGGTCTTAGACCCCTTGCTACTATACCTTTGGGGCCATTTTTGCTACATTGATGCACAAGTGATTTATTGGATTAGTTGCATATATTGACGCTTGTTATTTGGACAGTTCATGGAAGACTTTTTTTCAATAGCCGGCGGACTATCTGAACAAACAGTATAGTGAGACAGATGCTGAAAGAATTAGGTGGACATCCTCCACTTCTGATTTGCCTAGTGCTACATCTTTAAGGGATATATATTTTGAACTTTTGAGATTACGCAAACGTGAAACAGATTTAGACCTACACGGCTTATTCGTTTCTGAATATCACCGTAAATTACTAATTCCAAGGGGGTTTAGAGTTAACAATATACCTACAATCGAATGAGTAAATCCCACAGTGTGTAAGAAATGGATAGTGGTTCTAAATAAGTATTCCCTTGACTTAATGTTAATAATCATAGAGGATGTAAAGGAGGACCTTATCCAAGTGAGGAGAAGAATTACACACTTGGAAACAAGCCATGCTCCTATCATCAGCAGAAGCAGCTACCTAACTGTTGAAACTTGAGGATAATGTTAAAATTTATAAAACTGACCTAATCAGATTTAAGAGGGGGAAGCAAGACATTGTTACATCGGATTACAAGGAACATCGAGTGTATAAGTGGCTGTGTGGTCGAAACAAGATTCCCAGGTTTGCACGACATTGGAGACCTATCCGCAAACCAAGCCAATACACTATTGACAAAACCTGAGGGGAGTCCAACTCCGAATCAGAAGCCCCTCAGATTGCTGATACAACCACACAACGTAGACCAAATACCATCCAAGTGTACCTTTTTTAGAAGGACGTCCGGTGGAACGGCAAGGTATAACCACCAGGTACCAAAGCCATCAGAGGCACAGATACATGACAAGATGAGGACATAAGGGCCGTACTTTTTGGGGCAAGAGAAAGACCACCCCACATGAGGAGATGATACCAGTATTCAATTTATCATCCAGAGCCCTCCAACCTGATGAAATTATATTGTTATCTAAGGGACTCTCATTTATACCTACAACACGCCCGACCCGTTGAAGTGGGAAGTTGAGCTCTATAAATTTGGGCCCTCACTCCTCTTGAAGGATTTTTTAAAGATAAAACACTAAATAGCTCTGATGATCAGTCCAGGTTCAAGAAAAAGAGCAAGTTTGACCCCGTACCCAATCAACCGGCCATCAAAACTTTTCTCCAATCGTCTGATTATTTTAAGGGCACACACAGATTTCATTCTAACTACTCCAAAAAAGAGCGACATATCATCAAATCTCTATCTACAGACAGTACCATTGTTACAAGGCCAGCAGATAAGGATGGCGGGATAGTCATAATGGATTATACAGACTATAGAAAGGAAATTGTGCACCAACTTTCAGACATAAATACATATCTATCAGAAGACCCTACCCAGGAGGTTCAACAAAAAATTATGAACACTCTACAAAGGGGTCTAGAGAGCGAATATATCACTATGGAACTATTCCAATACTTGAGCTTAAAAACACCAAGAACACCAGTAATGTACACATTACCTAAGGTACACAAGAATAGTGAGAATCCTCCAGGCCGACCGATAGAATCAGCCTTTGGGGGTATCCTAGAACCAGTGGCCAAATGGCTGGACTTCATATTTAAAGGCAGTATTGAAAATTTTAACACTTGCCTCAAGGATACTCCTTCATTCCTGAAAATCCTGTCAACTCTTCATCTACCAGCAGAACCAGTGATGCTGGTAACCTGTGATGTAAAGAGTCTGGCCATGATTCCCCATCAGGAGGGGATACAGGCAATGTGTATATTTTTCTCTAATTCATCTTTCTATCATGCCCCTCCAGCCCCGTGGAGTACACATTAGAATTACTAGACATTGTACTGTCTCAGAATTACTTCATATTTGAGTACCAATGGTGCAGACAAATTTCGGGTACATCCATGGGTGCAGCCATGGCACCCATGTATGCGAATGGCTACATGTACCAATTCGAAAACCCCTACATATTAGGATCTTACGGTGAATATATCCTGGCATACGCATGCTACATTGACAATATCTTTTTGTTATTTAAAGGGACAAGCGTAGAAGTAGAACGGATGATACAAGGGATCAATGAAGCTATGGATAACATAGAATTATCTATGATCTTGAGTACACAACAAGTAGATTTTTTGGATGTATGTGTCTATCGTGAGGACCAGAAATTAGCTTACACTTTGTTTTCTAAACCAACAGACCGTAACACAATACTCCATGCAACCTGTTTTCATCCTGTGGCCTTGCGAAAATCACTACCATACTCGCAGTTCCTACATGTATACAGGAATAATTCCAACTATGAAATGCACAAGCCCAAATTTCCATTATGTGGAAGAAGTTTAAACAAAGGGGATACAAGGACTCCATACTGTTACAAGCCCTATGGAGATGTCATGACGAAACTGGGATGGATCAGAAGTCCATACAATCCGCACGTATGGTGTTCCCAATCACGTATACAACAGCTTCATTGGATTTCGGGACTATTATCAACCAAAACTGGAGAGTTCTAGTTAATGATGTAACATTACCAGAAGTGTTCAGAACACCACCGATGGTCTGTTTTAAAAGAAACAAGAACTTGAGGGACTTGTTAGTACCCACTGACCCAGCCACTGTTATCAACCCAAGATGACACCAATCAACCCAGGATGCTATTGATGCCTGGAATGTGTGACGTGTGGGCACATGTTGCCAGGGAAAGAGTTTGCACACCCCCACTCAGGAAAATGCTATACCATTAAACATCGATTAACATGTACCACAGACTTTGTAATTTACAATTTAAGATGCCCATGCGGTTTAGCCTACATAGGCGAAACGGATCTACCACTCTGAGAAAGAATCAGGAACCATAGGTCCAGCATCCATACAGCATATATAGACATGAAGTTGAACAGCCAGTGGCTAAATATTTTTTGTACATGGGGCACAGGTTACCTGCCCTCAAACTAATGGCCATGAACCTTATTCCCCCCCACGCAGGGGAGGTGACCGCAGCAAGTTGTTGCTCCAACAGGAGATACATTGGATCAGAACTCTCAATATGGTCCAACCACATGGATTGAACGACAAGTACTCTTTATCCGTATTCCTGTAGAACATGTCCTGGACTGTATAGCTTGACTTAGTGCACTTGATTTGCAACCTGACAGCCCACACTAGGGGATAGGCATGTCAGCTTTGCTGGTGCATAGTCACAATCATTTGGGAATACGATATCCGCGTGGGGTGTATTTTCCTACACCATATGGACTGCATGAAAAGTTCAATTTGTCCGTATTCCTGTGAAGCATGTTCTGGACAATAATGATCTGACTATATGCACTGGATATGCAAATTGATAGCCCACACTGGAGGATAGGCATGTCAGTTTGGCTGGTGTTTAGTCACATACCACTGTGAATATGGGATCTGTGTGTATTGTAACTGTAATGGTTTAGTAGACCATGGAAATCGTGGATTATGTACATGGAGTATGTCATCCAGATGCCACCCAGGGGGCAGCACCCGGGACTATATCTGTGTTGCATTGATCTGCAGCCCCTGTTGGTCCAGATTGTTATTTTGTTTACATGAACGATGACCTGGTCAAAGTAGACTTTGCTCAGTGTGACTGGTCAGTCTATATAGGTCCCACCCTGGGGGATAGTTCCTAGGGCTGATTCAGTATCATGGCTTTGCCCAGGTGTACTGGGGGAGTCACATGCTTCATTAATGATATGTGGTTATTGGCTATCAGATTAGGACCAATATGACCCCTTATGATTATGGATATATTCTAGTGGATTTGAGGTCCGCAATAGACCCTTCAAGTTATTCCACTTATACCTAGGTGTGGAGGTCTTTTCTTTTGGTGATTATTGGCTATGATAACAGCATCAATTTTGGAATAAGCATGACACTAGGCCATTGTATATATTGCATATATTGTATAATACTTGAATTTTGAACTTATAAGGGAATAGCCCCTAGAGTAGATCACTACCTCTGCCCATATTGGTAAGTAGTAAATAGTTTTGCCTGTAGATATAGGCACTTCACCTCTTTTGGCATAAAAGAAGAAGGGTTAGTTTACTTCTGCCTTTAGAGTCTAGATATTAGTGATGGGCTAGGGATATACAGCCTATTGACACTAGGTTAGCACTCATTATTTTCAATGAATATCCTCATATATATTTCTGGGGGTGTGAATATGTTCTCTCTGTATGACCCTAGAGGCTGCTGGCCCTGGGTGGGATAGATATACTGTTTGCATCTAGAGATGCACTTATTCTGCTAATTATTCCTTAGTGTCACCAGTTATGCTTATAAGGCAGTTTGCAGCACAAAATTCTACAGGACTCCCCAGATCCATTTTATTTATTACGATTCTATGTGTATGATCATATTGTTCGGTCACTGATCGCTGCATCAAGTGTCAGCAAGCCTTGCATATAATGAAGCTTCAGAAGTTACTATGTTTGGCATCATACTTGGATGTCATGAACTGATTTATTAAGGTTAGACCCTGCTCAATAGATCACCCGTCCAGCTCTGCAAGTTGTTTTTAATTTGGAGATTTCCTGAGTTATGCCAGTATGAGTATTGCCACACCTAGTCCCCGCAGTGTGCTTAACCACATCGTTATGTATTTGCCGGTTTGAAATGTTAAGAGGGGGTGTAAACGGACTTGTTGTCTGATTTCCTTGGAGATGACCTCCCACAACGTCATGATGCCAGGTGCTTGGCGACGACGTAATTAGGTTCAAACCCGTGCAATCTCCGGTCCAGGCGTACTCAGATGAAATCCCTGTATCAATGGGGTAAGTGTATAATGAGGTAGTGGGTATATAAGATTGTCTTTTAATACATTAGCTCATCCTGATGAAAGTTTCAATGACAAACTGAAACGTCAATCTTTTTTGTATCTGAGCAATAAAAGTTAAGTTTTATTTTATCTATTGGAAGTCCCTGGAGTGCTATCTACACTACATTGTGAATCTATATGCTGACAAAGCTTCCTTCTCTGGTCACTCCTTTCGTATAGGCGCAGCATCTTCAGCTTCAAGCTGTAACACACCACCAGTCCATCATTAAGAGACTGGGCCGCTGGAAATCCTCAATTTATAATACTTATATACCTCGACCAGACTGGGAGCTCCGACAAGCCTTCAGAAATCTTGCTTTGCAACTTGCAATAAAGTTTGTTTACTTTGAATCCTCCTTTTGCCCTCTTTTTATTACAGGCCTACTCGTACGTTGGTTTCGGCACACCTCAACCAACTTTGCATTTTCTTCTACATTCCATTACATATTAGAAATTCTGAGCACAAGTTAAAAAGCCATTTGGCCTGAATGTGTGGGAGAAGTTATATCCCCTATTTATTCTCCTACCCCCTTACTCACCTTTGCCATTCAAGCTGTTTGTCCCCACCCACCTACACCTATCTCTATATACATTTTACCTTTGTGGGCCCTCTTTTTTATTACAGGCCTGCTCGTACGTTGGTTTTGGCACACTTCAACCAACTTTGCATCACCTTCTACATTCCATTATGTATTAGAAATTCCGAGCACAAATATATATATATATTCTATCATATATATGTTGAAAATTAAGGAGCATAAAAATAATAATATTCTATCAATTCTCTCCTTTGTTCACAACGTGAAAAGAATAAGGACAGAAAAATACCTGGGTATGTTGCCATAGCTCCAAAATTACCTGGCTTGCCCAGTAATCTGGGGTTAGGAAAAAACTAATTTTATTTTATTTTTTTCTTACTAAAATTTGGAAACCTGAGTGAGAGCCGTGACCGTGCAAGCCCTGCTCCTCAGCACAGAGCAGCTGTCACTTATACAATCCAGAGCATTCCATGGCTTTACTGTATCCTTTTTTGCAACTGCAGAACATATACATTTAAATACATTGTAACATATACATAAAGTGTAATTAAGCATATTGCCTTTTGATCAATGAGGTACGCTTAAATAAATAGTTGAACCAGATCACACTGAACTGGTTAATATGTGTTCTTCTGGATTCTTATACATTCAACCCTTTTTTAACAAGTGCCATTTCATAACGTCTGGTGAACTTTTTTTTTTTTGACCAGTCAGGATGAATGTCCAAGGGCTATACAGAAAGCAGATTCGACCGCTGTCTGTGATTTTCTGATACAAACTATAAACCTGATACCAAAACCTCAGACCTAAGCACATTGAGTATAAAGTTGTGGTCACAAGGAATACAAATCTTTTATTCCTTAGCATTTTGGAGTGAAGATATTATGGCTGCAGTGTCGCATGAGAATTTTAAAGTTTGTCCCAGTATTTTAAGGGAGAGCATGGGTGACAGAGACCAATTAACAGTAGCCCGCTACGATGCACAAGAAAAGGAATCCAAACTCAGGCCACTTCATGATATCTGGGATTTCCAGGGCACAGAGACTCTGTTAAAGCCAGTATCATGTGGGATAGACCTAGGCTGTCTTGGGCTGATACTGACGCATTACACGGCCAACCTTGCCACAAAAAAAGCTTCTGGCACACTGTAATTTGGAGCGAAGAGACCAAAAAAGAGCTCTGTAATCACAACCATAAGCGCTATGTTTGGAGAGAGGTCAACAAGACCAATAGAGAAAATAATACCATTCCCACTGTGAAGCTTGGTGGTGACTCACTGATGTGTTGGGGGTGTGTGATTTTTAAAAGGTACGGGGAATCTTTAAAAATTCATGGCAAGATGAATGCTGCATTTAATCAGAAAATACCGGCAGACAATTTTCATTTTTCTGCATGAAGGCTGCGCATGGGACGCTCTTGGACTTTCCAGCATGACAATGACTCTAATCATAATGCCAATTTGACCCTCTAGTGGTTACAGCAGAAAAAAGTGAAGGTTCTTGTAACGGACCCTCCATCAATCGATGCTCCTAGTGTTTACCAAGGACCATCCGCACCGCACCAGACACCATAAGCACTGCAGATCCCATGAACCGCCGCAGCTTGGCTGGGAACTCGCCGTCCTCTACCCACCCTGGACCTATGACAAGGCTCCAGGTTCCAGTGGGTGAACCTCTCCTCCAAGAGAGAGTAGAGGAACAAGCTCTTAAAAGAGCTTAGTGATTATAGCCTAGGGGAGTATACAGAGTATAGCAATCCCCCAGTGTAGATTCAGCCTTTTCCCCCACACATGAGACGAGGCTCTATGTTGAGGGTAAAACAGGAACTCAGCAGATCTGAGGGTTTATTGTCTTTTATACAGTTTTCCCCGCAAGGTTACCACCCAGGTGGACCTTGTGGAGCACAGGACACAAAGTCACAAAGTCAATCAGAACAGTATTGTACAGTTAGACACTCCCAGATAAGGTACACAAACCCTCCCCTCTGCTTGGGAGATAATTGAGTAACTCAATTATCCCCAAGCAGAAAAACCAAAATTTTCACAAAACACAGAAAACACCCGAAAACACCACATATACCCATATACATCCCTGGATAGCCCTGATCTGGGTGAACAACATATCAA